ACTTAGAAAACAGCCAAGATGTAGCTACACCTCCCTTTCCATTGGCTGTCACTGCTCCAGAAGGAACCAGGAGGTGACTTGGGTGACACCACTGCCACAATAGAGGCTCGATCTTTCCAGGGACCCCAAGCATGAGGAGAGAGAGAGAAAATGTCAGTGCAGATGCTGCTGGGGAGGCAGAGTAATGTGCATCTTGTTTAAGCAAGCAGGAAACTAAGATCATCTGAATTCAAATCCAATGAGCCACTCCAGTCAGTGTGTGTCCATGGGCAAATGCTTGATCTTTTATGTGCCTCAGGGCAAGGCAACTGGAGAAGGAAGTCAAAAGCAACAGAATTTCACTGAAATGATCAGATGCTGCTTCCAAATTTGATTTAACTCCAAAACTACAACAAAGTAAATATCTTCAGACATGCACGCTCAACAAGGTCAAGAATTAATTTCTTATATATTTATATAGGGACTAGTCTGTTTGCAGACTGGATCAGGGTCCGACCGAGGGCAGAAGCATTTAGAGGGGAGAGAATTTGCAAGGATGAGAATTCAACAAGCAGTTGAAAGCAAAAAGAAAAGGAAAAGTTCTTGCCTGACAAGGGATTTTGGTTTTGCTTTTGATAAAATCAAATACAAGATGGTTCCCAAAGAGAGAGAAACATTTGAGGTGTTCTTTGCACATTGCTTATCCCCCCCCCCCAAAAAGGGTATTTGTGAACTGCTACAAGCAAACACTGGAAAGAAGAGTCAAGTCAGAGAGGAATAAGCTCGTCTATGTTGTGCAATCTCCCAGAATCAAGATTATTCTATACAGTGCCACATCCAATTGCAAGAAGGACCGTTAGGAGTAACAGAGCTCCTGTAACTAAAGTGTTTTCTGTCCTCAAATCTTCCAGGAAACTGACTGAGGCACAGGAGGGAAAAAGCCAAGGGGAGAAAACTTGTTAGAAATAAAATCATATTTTCTTGGACATTGGAAAGAATGTAAAACTGAGCCAGAGGCCTCCAAGTCAGCAGCCATTTTAACATTTTGCAAGAGATTTTCATCTTTTTCCCCTACAGCCTCAGTTCTGCTGTAAACACTGAGTGCACCCACTATGGCTGTCAGCTGCAGAGTTTGCTTTACACTGAAGCTGCCAGGAGATAAAAAATACTTAATGTAATTCTCAAATGGAAGGCATAAGGATTTCTTCATGACATCTGTGTGAAGAGCACAAGACATGAGATTTACTTTTAGCAAATCAATAAAAATTGGATGGATGCATTTGGAAACCTGGAAAAGCAAAGATATGCCGGTTCTCTGTCGTCCTTACTGCAAAGCTGCCGATGGCAGAACGGGAAACAAACACCATGTCCTGTCCCAAAACATCACTTCTTTTTATTAAGGGTAAAATAAAATGATGAAAAATATTATTCTTGGGTTTGTTGGCTTGAACAGGTCAAAGCAATTTTTCAGGAGGCCGGTGGTTTTCATGCGATGACACTTTCTGTGCTGCAGTCCAACGATGTCGCACAAAGTTTCATGAAAACATGACAAAACCAGGCCAGTAAAGCCACCAAAAAAAGATGGAAAAAAGACACATAAGGTAAATAAATTATAGAATCACCCATCCATGCATACACATAGGCACAGGTGCAATGTATGTGAAGACACTATACATATGCATCAACATATGCAAGTGGATGTGCATTTTACACCGATAAACATGCCCACACACAGAACCACGTTCACCAGCACAACCCAATTTTGAAAGCTTTTTTTCTTCAGCAATCAACTGGGTGCCCTTTGCTTGAAGGCAAATACAAGCACAATAAATTCCTTACTGGTAGCACGGAAGAGGAAACTCCAGACCACGGAAAAGTTCAGCACTAGTAAATTCTGATGAACACCATTACTGTGATTACTGCTTGGGCACAGATTTGCCCGCCTCATTGTCATTTCTTATACTGCATCAAGCAAAGGCTGGTGGGGACCTAGTACTGCTGTCGCCCAACTGAATGTGACCTTTTTTGGGTGACCGCGCTGCAGTGGGGGTTTTCCTCCTCCTCTGGGAAAGCATGAATAAAAAAACAAACAAAGTGCAGGCCAGAGGATGCAACGTAAGGTTTTAATAAGCGCAGAAATTAAACAGATGAGCTCTTCGCTTTTAAATGTCAGCATTGTGGCTTCCCTGTCATTTGCAGCGGGAGAGGGAAGGGGCTAAATATCTTGGGATGTGGCGAGTTTTAAAGCGCATAATGATGGCGATAAAAATCTATAATGTCAGTTGCCTTGTGGCAATCAACAACCATTTCACATTATGCTTTGCATCTTAAGGTTTGCGGCCAAAAAACCAGATTTGCCTCTGTCTCATTAAAATAACGAATGCAGTCCGAATGGATCTGCAATGATTCACTGTACGTCACACTAAATCACGACGCTCTTCGGAGCCAACTGACTATGGCCTCATTACTTTAGACAAAAGTGGGCTTGGAGGAAAAACTGGGGTGATGTTTTTTTGCTCAGCCATGTTTTTCCCTTTGAAATACTTAAGGCAAAAGAGCAGATAGGGTTGTTTTTTTTTGTTCCCCCCCCCCCATTGGTAGCTGAGGAAGGTTGGGTTGTATTCATAGTACAGTTCCGTATTGATACACATAAACAGGAACAACACGAGGGTTAGCATGGGGAAAGATAAATTAAACAAATAGAAATGGCATTAACAAAGCAGATTTTAATGAACATGAATCACTGATGACATGAAAGACTTAAAAATTAAAATAAGCTGTTAAATAATTAAATATATATATATATATTAACTGTTTCACTAGGGCAAGGAGTTTGAAAACCAGCCTGCTCTCCTTCTCCCTCATGTAAGACCTTAAGTACTTGTGGTCTGTCTTCTGCAAGTCTTTATTCTACAAATTTCACTGCCTTAAATATAGTAAGAAAAGAACCCCTTTATTCTCCACCTGAAACAGCTTGGCTAAATATGTCTATTAATTAGCTTATTTTAATGTTAATACTTAAGATTAATCTATTTGACCTTAAAGAAGTATGAAGGTTACGTTCAAAACTGTTTAGTATTTCAGGAATAAACATTAACTCAAATTTTACTGTTGTTAAGTGAAGGTAAAGAAGTATGAAGGTTACGTTCAAAACTGTTTAGTATTTCAGGAATAAACATTAACTCAAATTTTACTGTTGTTAAGTGAAGGTAAGGCATTTTAAAAAAATTAACTGGATCATTTTAAATCTGTCTATATTTATAAAGACAAATAGAAATAAAAATTTCAGGCAATGGTTAAAAGATTTAATGTGAATTTTGACTATGGAAAGATTATATAAAGTCCATGGTGAAAATCATACTTCAGAACATATGAATGAATGGCAAAGACTTCAAATAGATTATTTGTTTTGATAATTGGTTCAATTTTCTCTTGAGCATATATACCTTATTGTAAAGAGAAAATGATTGATATTAAGCTATTTTTCCACCAAAAAAAAAGTTTTCCAAAAAACCCCATGCAAATGTATTTTGAATTTGATCACAAAATATGTTACATATCCATTATGTGTTTTTTATTTCAGGTAGAAGAAAAAAATGTCTGAGAAACATTCATGGAATGACTGATTTAAATGTTACAAATCCCTGAATTTTTCATCTCCTTTTGAATGGAATGCCAAAGGGGATTAAAGACTAAAGACATATCACAAACAAATTTACATTATTAAAATTACTGTAATCAAGAGTCTTTTCTAGCCTTAATCAGGATTAGTGAAAACAGAAAAAACCCCCCAACTTTTCCACTGTGCAATACTAATCAAAATTCTATCAAATGACAGATAACAAAATAAAAGCAGTTCTGAAAATTGAAAATATTGGATGGTGTGTTCTAATAATCTTTAGAAGCATTTTCACCTGTTCAGGTCAGAGCAACGATTTCTCTGCTGATAATTCACATGGCAGGCAACGAGCGCAGGTAAAATAAATCTCAGTAACGCTCCAGAGTCCGACCTCTTTTTTCAAGAGTCCATCCAAATAACACACTAGAACACACATTATAGAAGGTAAGATGGAATGCTTGGTTTTGCTCACCTAAACTGTAAGCTAAATAATTCCAGCTGTTGCAAACTGGGCTAGAAACCTGCCGTATGCAAGGACTCAACCTCGCGCAGCGACTCCCGCTGCTGAGCTGGCAACGAGCAGGTTTGGGCTGAAGAACCATGAAAGCTTTCAAATGAGGTCTTTATCCACGGTGCCCTGTGCTTTACACGTGCTACAGGGCTAATATAGTAAAGGGATAAAGCTTGTACAAGTTTTTCTGGGCCTTGGGAACCTCTTAAAGGCAGCTTTATGTTGGGTTTAGAAACCGCCACTGTGCTCGGCAGCATCAGGCCCCACCTCGCAGTCGACAACATCACCGGGGCTGCCAATTAGTAAAACAGCATCAGGATTGGACCCTACCTTCATTTCACTCTCGTAAAGTGTCAACTGCTCTTTTGAAATGGAAATTACAGAAATGGGTATGTAAAGAACAATACCAAAAAGTGAGCTGAGAACAATGAGCAATCACTTCCTAAAGTCTGGGAAACAAGCTCAGCATGAAGCAATATTCAGATATTATGACAGCATGTCAGAAAATCAGCAAAAGGGATCAAAGGACAAGGAAAGCTCCATGATTCTCACGGTTTCCTTCCAGGAACTCCAACTGATTTAACTTTTTGCTGGTATCTGAAGTAGACAGCTGCCTTCTAGGCCCTCCATCTTCAGACCTGTTGCTCCCCTGTATTTGATTAAACAACATTTTACCTTGCAGGCTCAAGACTGCTAATGTTAAATCTTGACTGATGCAGTGTGAGCTGACAGCACTTTCCAGTTCCCTGTTAATAAGGTTATGCATATTGGTTAAGAAAACCTTTGCTTTGGTTAGTGACCAGAATTCCACAACTTAAAAAACCAACAGACAGCAGGGCAGCACTTCCTCTCTGTGACACCTCACGAAGTTCAAAGAAAAACTAAGTGACGTTAGAAAACAATATATTACATTTAATTAAAAGCTGGCATTATGTTTTCTTCAAATTATGAACATATCAGGATAATAAGCACATTAAAACACATGAACTGTATTTCAGTTCCATCTGAGCATACAAAACAAATCCTCCTTGGGAAAAAAGAAGCAGGCATCATAACAAGAACATCTGAGCAGGAAAAAAAAAAAGATCTTCAGCTTTTTTGAAGTCCTCCCTTTATCTTCTCTGAAACACCAAATGGAAGCAGACACTTAAAACCTTACATGGTACACAAAATAAGTTGATTTGTTTCTCGTATGCCAGAGAAGGGGAAAAACAAATGACAAGTTACAGGACGTCATCCTCAGGATAACCACGCACATCTGCAAGGTTAGCACCGATGCTTCACACACAAATGCAATAGCTCGTTTATCCCCTCCCAGCAAAATCATCTTTTCAGTGGTATTAGGCATTCACTTGGAAGCAGTTTTAGCAGCAGCTCAGTGTAAATCACCTCAGAGTAGATGCCTTCCTGCCACAGGAAATGCGAAGGGCTCGGTCTGGGCTTCACCTCTGTATGAGTTCAAATCCTGCAAGTCCATGGTGGAGAGAAGCAACTCACAGGACTGAACTTTCAGATTAACTGAGAAGTTAGACAACCTAATTCTAGCTTAATATTGCTTGTTGCAGGAAAAGTTATGATTGATCTTCTTTTTCCTTTTGAATTAAAACCGCTGTACTTTAAGGTCAATTTTAATAATGATTTACAAGTTCCTCTAGCATTGCTTTGACAAATTCTACACTTGTTTTTAATACCTGGCCTTTTAACAGCACTTAGATACTCAAGTTTGCTATTTTTCCTAGGAAAAAATTTTTTTAATACAGGCTTTATCTTCTGTATTTGAAATTCCATATTTAGTCTCCTGAGATTGATTGATTCCAAGTGGGTTCTTGAAGAACCTTCTGAATATTTCAAGGACTCTCAGAAGGTGGATTTTTTAGTATTCCGGGTAGATAAGGTAGGATGAGCAAGTTGTTACTGATGTAAATTAAATGAAGAGATTTAAAACAATCACTGTACTAAACCCCATCATTCCAAAACCAGCTTGTCTCTAAGACTATAAAGACATTTTTAGGCTCTGAAATTAGTGAGCTGCTTTTTTTTGGTGATAATTATTGGAGAAAGAAGCAATTATAAATTCCATTATTATTAGTGTTAAATCTTTAACCAAACCAAACTCAGATTAAATATTAAGCTGTTAAATACTTTATTCTCCTACTATTTTAGTTTTGGTGAAAAATGAACACTTAAATTAGTCTCCATTTAAATATTCTCAACTGCTAAATCTTCTCTAATTTTAACCAGAAGCAACATACATCTACTTAAAAATCATGATTCTCTGTTTAGGTGACAGGTTTGGGGTTTTTTTTCCAAAATGTTATCTAGCAACAACTCAGTCTGCAAAATTTTAAATGACCTTTGCTGATCTGCAGTTTCCACTCATTTTTGCTTCAGTAGTGGTTTTGGTCGGCTTTCACTTCATCAGATGCCTTTTGAGAGTACATTCAAAATTTTGTTTTATGGAAAAAGGTACAAGAGATAAGCTGTTCTGTAAAACTATTCCGTAATTAAAAAAAAAAAAAAGAGAAAAAAAAGAGGAAGAAGTGAAGATATAAAAATGGAAACAAGTAGGAACCAGTTTTAAACATATGTCTTTATGAATGAGGCTTAATCACACACTTCATTCTCCAAACACAAAAAGTCTTTTGGAAATGTATTAATTAAAATTAAGTGCCATGGACAAGCGGCTTTAGAGGGATGGCAGTCCTTTTCAAATTAGCATAACACTAGCGACAGGCATGGAAATTGGTTTAATAACCCTAAATAGTTACACCCCACTCTTAACACAAATGGCCACGGACAGCTCGAGCCCCTGAGGCTGCGACTGTACCAGTTTACGTGGTTGCTCTGACATTGGGTGGGTATTCCCACCCAAACAGAAAGCACTGAATGCACCTCAATTATTATTATTATAATAATATAATGACTAGTGAAGCATACAAGGCACCAAAGCGTCGAACACCATAAACCAGAAAACCAAAGTAAAACCAACACAAGCAACACCAAAAACTCAGCCAGCAAGGGACTCACTTTGTAACTTGTACAAACACAGTCAATATTAGCAAGGGATTGTTAGTTTAGTTATGATATTAAGTGGCCCAAACCCCACAAGTAGGTTTAGGGTCAAGCTGTAGATTTAAGAGAAAACCAAGCCAAAGGGATAAGCAGAGTCTTTAAGCGATTTCCTTCCCTGCCATGTTTTCCATGGGTGTCCTCAGAGCCGAGCTCCCTGCTATGATAACCCCGGTTAAACACCACTTTCAGCATCCCCCAGCAAGTGTCAAAATGCATAAGCAAAATCTCTACCTGCTTAACTCTTAAATGTCAGACACAAGCAACATTTTTTGTGCGCTCACAATTCATGAGAAACTGGAGAAAAAAAAAACAACCCTACTGATAAAGAGCTGAATATCCACAAGCTTTTTCCAAGTATTCCAATCATTCCCCTAACTTCACATAGCTGCTCCTGCTGCATCCATCTCCGCTTTGCCTGACTTCAGCAGGAGTTTTGCTTTGACTGCCAGCTGGTTTTAGAGACATGTAGGACAGAGAAAGTGGTTATTCATGTCTTTTATTTGTTATAAATACATATTTATATGTTAAGTGATCTTTTGCTTTGTTTATCATGATGAGCAACGACTTTGGAAAATCATCTGGAAAACTTAACCAAGCCGAGAAACAGGCAAACAGCAAGCATTAGCATACAATCACAGGTTCCTCCCAGTCCAAGAACGGGTTAATTTTTTAAGTAAAAAAAAAAAAAAAAAAAAAGCATCTTTCTTTGAAGCATCAATAGTTTTATCAAGAGCACTGAACTTCCCCCCTCCCATGTGCTGACCAAATGATTTTCAGTTGAATTTGCAGGTGCAGTCCAACCCAGCCGGCTATAGGACCCCCACCCGCTCAGGAATCTGAAACATTGCATAGTTTGCACCTGGATTTTGCTTTCCCACCCTCCTTTTGATGTATTTTTAACACAGGTCGATCATGCCGGAACAGACTTACTGATCTTTCCATTTCCAGATCTCTCTCCCTCTCTGTTTTTCTACAGTTTTGTTTCAAAACTGCTCAGAAACTTAGTAGCTCAGAGCAAGTGGAAAAGCAACATTTACGCTCACAGTCCACTGACAGGCTGGGAAGGAAATAACTCTACAGATGAAGTTGCATGTGGGGGGTAACTAAACAAAGTAGAAAGTGGATGTTCTGGGAGTCCACGTGAACTGCCAAATAATTCCAAATGGGGAGAGGGGTATTTAAGAGATGCAAACAAAAAGAAAACCCAGACTTAACTGATGGAAGGAAGCCAAGGATGATGGCAGTGGAAAGAAAAGTGCACAGAACTAAAAAAAAAAAAAAAAAAAAAAAAAAAAAAAAGAACAAAATAAAGGAAAAGCCCGAAGAAGGCAGAAGTCAAGGCTTGTCGTTACAGTGTTTGCAGAGGGCGGAGGCGGCTCCTGTGAAGGCAGTGCATTTCTCGGGGCAGCCGGGCACGGCCGCGCCGCCGAAGGGGTAGACGGGCGACTGTCCGAAAGGGTTGAGGGTGGCGGGCAGCGGGGCGCTCAGCGCCTGGCCCTGGTTCAGGTAGGCCACCAGCCGCCGCATCTCCTCCAGGGCCTGCGCCTGCATGAGGATGTAGTTCTTGGCCAGGAGCAGCGTGGCGATTTTGGAGAGTTTCCGCACCGAGGGGCTGTGCGCGTAGGGGATGACGGAGCGCAGCCCGTCCAGGGCGTCGTTCAGGTCGTGCATCCGCCGCCGCTCCCGCGCGTTGATGCTGAGCCGCAGCGAGCGCTGCTCCTTGGGCTTCTTGCCCAGGGCTCCCCCCTTCAGCTTCCCCTCTCGCTCGAAGCCCGCGCCGCCCTTCACCCCCGGCTCGAAGCCGTCCTCCTCGTCGCCGCTCTGCTCGCCGCTGCTCTCCGCCGACTTGCCCAGCGCCCCGGGATGGAAGTCCGCCCCGCCGCCCCCCGGGTACGCGCCCCGCGGGCCCTCGGCGCCCCCGCGCACCGCCCCGTAGGCGAAAGCCGAGGGGCCGTAGCCGGGGGCCAGCGCCAGGTACGCCTCGCTGCCCAGCGACTTGAGCTCGGCCATCGCCGGGGAACCGCGCTCCGCTGCCTGGGCGCCGAGCAGGAGGAAGAGGTGGAGGAGGAGGCGGCCCCGCCGCTCCGCTCGGCGCTGCGCCCGGGCTGGGGGCGGGCAGTGAGCGCGGAACGGCCCCGCTGCACTTATATCGCCGAGAGGGGCCGCGGGGACACCTCGCCGCCAATCGGAGGGCAGCGCGCCCTTCCCTTCCCTTCCCTTCCCTTCCCTTCCCTTCCCTTCCCTTCCCTTCCCTTCCCTTCCCTTCCCTTCCCTTCCCTTCCCTTCCCTTCCCTTCCCTTCCCTTCCCTTCCCTTCCCTTCCCCTTCCCCTTCCCCTTCCCCTTCCCCTTCCCCTTCCCCTTCCCCTTTCCCCTTCCCCTTCCCCTTCCCTTTCCCTTCCCCTTCCCCTTCCCCTTCCCCTTTCCCTTCCCCTTCCCCTTCCCCTCCCCTCTTCCCCCGGGTGGTGGAAGCACCAGGGGCACGCACAGTGTTGGCAGCAGTGGCACGACTTGTGATCTGGTCGTCGTGGTTTAGGTGGGATGACAGAGGAGGCACCTGTTGTGCAGGGAGATTTCCAAGGCAAAGGCCCTGTCTATTCCCATTTTCTTCAGAGGCTCAGATTGTTCCTCCCTTCCATGTGCCAGGAAAAGGTTTGATCTGTAACGGTCCAGCCCAGCTCTGGAGGGACTCTCTGCTCAGCTGTGGGTACCAGTAAGTGAGTGTGACACTTGGATAGGAAACCACACCAGAGCCTGCAGGGTGTGAGGAATCATCACTGTGACTGGTGGTGCCTGCTCCACAGAGGAACCTCGAGGAGCTTCTGAGGCAGCCACTGGCAAAGCTCAGAGCTACATGGTGAAGAATAATCAGGAGGCTTTGTCCCATGTTCCTGGACTGAGATAACAATAAGGGCCTAATCTTTAATTGCAACAGAAAGAGGTCCCACTTTCTTTCTTTTCCTACACTTTGCAGACTGCTTCACGTTACTGAGATATATTTTACAGATAGTACAAGGGCATTCCAGGCTTTCTACAAACATGACATATGCCTGGTCCAGGTCCCTCAACCGTCTGTTCAGAAAGGATGGGATGAATCCTGTGTAGTGACACATGGATGCGAGAAGGTGGATATTGCCTAGGGGCAGATGCAACCAGTTGATGCAGATGCACCTGGTAAGTTATTTGCTGTAGTAAATAGCTTGGGTGTTAAGGTGACAGGAGGCTTTTTCCAGAATGTATTCTGTTTTTCTCAGGCCCTCTATGAGCGTGGTTATCTTGTCCTCTTCCCATCACCTCCCTCTGTGCCGGCCGTGCGCTAACGTGAAATGACGAGCTTGTCTCTCTTCCTTCTCCACATCAGAGCCAAGAACTCCGAGATGTGCAGTGACACATTCACCCTCTGTGCATGCAGAGCTGTTGCCTGCAATGAGGCTGTTCCCCTGCTCTGTGAATGTACATCTAGAAGGTTGTGTTCCTGTAGCTCTGTCTGAGCCTGGCATCAGAGTTTGCACAACATTTGTCCATCATACAAATCATACATACACTGATCTTCTCTTATCTCACCTCCAGTGTTTGAATGTTACAATATGGTCATGTCTCTCTTTTGCTCCCCTTATCAGGCTTATCCGACCATGAAGACCAATTACTGGTTTTAGTCACTTAATTGTTTTATGACAATTGAAGCACTTAACTACTCCTGGGACAGATCACTCTATATATTCATGGTGACACTCTATATATTCCTTGTGACTTTCAAATACAGGTGAGCACAAAATGACTTCTGCTCATCTCTGGAGTCAGTCTCACACTCCAAGTAATAACAGACAAATGGAGGGAAGTACCAGAATATTATCACTGGCATAAATCATTCCCATGAGAAAGACATAGAGGAACTGTTAAAAGCAGGATTGTCCCCTGCTAGAAATGATTTACTCCTTTTGTAATGTGTTAAGATCTTGCAATGAGAAGGACTAGTAGTGTTACAAACTTTCAGGAATCCTGGTTGTTATAATGACATGCTGCAAGTATTGCCAGCTTTCTAAGAATGTCATGTGCATGTAAGTGGGCTGAAAATTAGAAGTAAACACTTTTCACATAGGCTCTCTTGTGGTTTATTAAATAGATTGAGTTCTTCAATGGTTATTTCAACACTGAAGGGCAGCTTGGGAGGTATGTCAGCTACAGGAGAACAGAGCAGAAGGATTTTCTGCTTTACATGTAACTCCAAAATGCACAGCTGAGAGAAATCACTTGGACCCTGAATGAATCTTAAATCAAGTTGGTTTTAATGTGCTACCAAAAAATGCACACAGAAGAATTTGTTTTGGACTTTGTCCTTTCATTTCAGCTGTGAATAGGCATCTTTGAAAATATCCAACCTGGTTCCTCACTGAAAACTGAGAAACAGGAATTTAGGTTTTGACGTGTTGGACTAGAACAAAAAAAAGGAAGACAAAAAATTACCAGAAGGGAGTGACTCATGTGGAAGAACGTGGCAGAATATAAAATCTCTTCCAAGTGCTTTGGGGAAAAATGGACATATGCAGTAGGAAATAAATTTATCACATGTTATAGAGTATTTGCCAGCTTTAAAGTGGGATTTATTTCTTCCAGTGTTTTACATATTCAAAACTTGTGACTATTTAATAATTAATAGCAGACTATCATCACTGCAATTATGATAGTTACTGTAACTGTAAGATCCTTGAGGCAGGACCTATACTTTGATTAAGACTCTTTCACGTCACAAACATTTTACAAATAATAATTTGATTACTGCTTTCCCTATATCTGGCTCCATACATTCAAGGGGTTTCTGTTAGCTTGACAAGGCAAAATCTACAAAGGAAAACACTTGCTGAGCCATTTCCAGGGAGCAAAGCATGAGTAACACAGCCTGCCAAGGCCATGCTGTCCAGCGTTTGCTGTGGGGGCTGTTTCAGGACTACAGCTCCCAGGTTCAGCTAAAGCTTGGAGAATGCACTCATCCTTCCAAAGGAAAAAAGTAAATTTGGAGGTTGTAGCACCTGTTACTGCAGCAAGAGCTTGACTACAATTTATTTCAGTTTTGATTCAAAGAGAGGGAGAAAATAATTGAAATAATGACATATTTTCTTCAGTTTCGGCTGTAGTTCTAAAGCCATGCACCTGAACCAAACCAGGCATCTCCCAGAGTCAGTGCCCACTGTCTGAATGTCCAGAGGGCTGGAATGAGATGGGATGAAGCTACACAGCAAAAACCTTTCTCAGATCTACATGTTATCTATCACATGTAGTTAAAGAACTCAGAGTTTGGGGTGGACACATTATTGAAATGTCTAAGAAAAATAGTTGCAAAGATTGTCACATTCATTTAAAAGCTTCAGTTAGTTTCCTGGATAACAGCATTTTTGACTGAGGGACCAACTCGGTTGGTTCGATCAGAAAAGAGGAGGGGGAAAGCGGGAGAAACACGCCTCCATCCCTATCAACCACATTTGGATATTAAAAGTAGAACCGAACAAAATCTCTTGAAGAGAACAGGAGGAAGGAGGTTTAAGAGAGACCAATATGCTCTGGTCGCGTGGTTTTTGTTGGGATGGGGGTGTCTGTCCTTCTCCCCGCGGTCGGTGCGGGTTTGTTCGGACGGGGTCTGTGTCCTCCCCGGTCCCGTGCTGACATCTAGCGACCACCGGAGGGGAGCGGGCACCCACCGCCCCCGGCACCCACCCGCCTCCTCGGCATGGAGGCAGAGGTGGGCAAAGCGCTACAAAATCAGAAGTAACCCACAAGGCTGACGGGCTCAATAAGACCCGCGAGCGCTCACGGGTCTCAGGTTGCAATCCCACACCTGTGCTTTGGGTACCTGCCCCCTAAATACAGCCCTGCTCCGGCGGCAGCTCTCACTGCTGCGAGCTCAGCAGGCTTTGGATCTTTTATTCAGGCAAGCACAAGGAGAGTGGAAAGAGGTGTTAAAGTATCAAAAGGTGTGAATGGATCACTTTCCGTTGAGTAAAAAGGATGGTGGGATGAGCAGAGTTACTCTACTGGAAGTTCACTGGAACTGCTGGAAGTGGTGAGTGAATACTTCTTCCCTCAGTTGTAATGGTAGAAAAACAGCAAGAAAAAACAGGTAGAAAAAACCCCACAGCTGTGGCAATGCCGTGCTGGTTCTGGCCATTTGGAAATGGTTGGTAGGTAGAAGCAGAAATTCGAGGCAGGGAAAGCAGGCAGAGCTCAGTCTGACAGGTGTGTGGCCAAACATCCAGGTCTGGACTAGCCAGAGGTCACAGCTGTCACCTGGCAGCACGACAGGAGTGCAAGAAGAACTGGAGCTGCTGAAGTGTTAGTGTCTAACTGCTGACTTCTTGTCTATCACTTGTCTATCCCACAGCTGAGACTTTCCTTTCAAAAATCCCTCAGTGATGCAGGAAGACATAATTTTTATTTTATCTTGTGGCTAAGGCACAGGACTCTGGATATAGGACTTCTGTTCTCAGTCCTACCTGAAGCTCACTCAGGTCCTAACAAGATTCTGATTACAAAACCTGCCTGAGAGGTTAGGTGGGTGTGTAGAGTCTGTGCTTATGATCCTCCTATACTAACTGTGTATCATGGTAATATAAAAGGCTTCTGTAACTGTCTGATTCTGCCACAGCTCCTACAGCTTTTCAGAGCAGCCTGAAGAATGTCAGTACAACAGAATGGTCAATATTGGGTTGCTCTTCAGACAAGTGATGACAAAGAAAAGCCTGCACCAGCAGTTGTCCACTCACAGACCTAGGAGCACACTTTATGAAGGAGACTTCCAAAAGGGAAGGAGAAGGTCCTCCTGCAACTTTGAAGGTTATTTTGAAGGAGTTTATTCAGAGTTTGTTCAACAAGTACAAGCCTCTAGGATAGGTTTTGCTCTGCTGATATCACTCAGTCATATTTTTTCCCCTTCACTAGATGGCAGCAAGAAGATAGGTATAGGAATTTACAGAATTATAATTATTAATTTTTTTAATACAGTAAACAGAGTTTTCAATTGGTTTCTTGTTTGAATTGATTTCTTTGGCAGTCCCTGTACACACACAGCCCTCAATAACCAAATCAACCAGCACAGGGTGGTGGAAAGCACTGGCAG